ACTAGAGTGTCTAGACAGTCCAGATCTTTAACATTCAATCCTAAGTCTCGTGCTTTCTGTTCCTTCCTAGCAGTATGGTATTTAAACAAAGCCAATTTACGAGCGAAAAGATGTAAATCTTTGGTCCAAATAAATTTATTAAATGGAGGAATGGGTACAAACGTCAAACCTTTCTGCAAGACTAAGTTCTCTGTCTCTGATAAAGTAAATGAAGAAATATTTACAACTTTCAAGTGATCTGGGCCTAATTTTGGTATCTCCGTTGGCCCCTGCTCCTTTGAGACTGCCTGGTACTTGGGCCTTTGAGTTCCTCGGCCTGCCTCAAGCCTAAAAAATCCACCCCTTTACGAAGTATACTTTTCGGAGTTAGAGGTTGGGAGGTTTGGCTGGATGGGGCAACAATGTCTTGTTCCTCGTTATCAGTAGACTCATACTCTGAAGTACTAAAGCGGTCAGAGTCAATTCTTACTCTTTTTTTAAAATGGCGATATACCTTGCCAGTCTCAAAGTCAGTAGAGTCTCTTAAAAATTTCTGATGTTTTTTAGTCTTAATTTGGTGTGAGAACTTATCTAAGTTGTTTTTAAGTTTAACTTCAAGACTCTGAAACAGAGGGTCTGTGTTGAATTTTTGGACCACTTCTATTTCAGTGTCTAATTCCTGCTGTATCTTAGTAAGTTGTAAGTTCTCATATTTGCAAATAATCGACATAAATGTTATAGAGCATTTGGATGCTGCCTCTTCCCATTCCTTATTGAAGCCTTCAATTTCTATATTTCTAGAGGGAGGTACAAGGACTCTTAACCCCCTTGGAATGATTTGTTTCGCAATATATGTATTTAAAGTAGAAATTTCCCAGCTGGTCTTAATTTGTTTTTTAAAAGTTCTAGTTAGTTTATTGAAGCTTGTATGTATATTGGGAGAGGAGGAGGATGGTAAAGAGGTACTCGTGGAGAAAACGACATCGGCGTCTGTGCACCATTGTTGAGCATCCACTTTATTGGACAAAAAACCTGCCATATTAATAAATCAGGGAAAAAGTAATATAGACTTGGTATAAAGGCGGTAGGCTAAATGGTGCAATAACACCTAAATAACAAAAGTGTAAAAAGGAATGAAAAGACAGATCCCCATAATCACAAAAAAAATGTGAATTGGTGAGAGCTGTCTTAAAAAGAGCCTACCTCAGAGCTACAATATAGGGGGTAACCCAGAAATAAATATAGTTGAATGACGGAGACCCTTGAAACAAGAGGATCCCAGAAGTAGCTGCTGAACTAAACAGAATAAATAGTATAGTTACCAGGTGGCAAGTAGAGAAAAAGAGGGCGCTGTACTTATAAATGGATAAAAGGGTGAAGGGGGATAAATCGAAATAC